GGACCAGATAGTTAAATATGAATTCAAAGGAATGTCCTAGTTCCAAATAAATCTGCCTTGAGATGGCTGTAGGAAGAGGTATAGATGACAAAGGAGTGTTACGGAAAATACACATTTTCAAATACACTGGCTGAAGGGGGACGTTTAGAAAGAACTTCTGCCCCTCGTACAGGATGGATAAAAGCAAATGATAAAAGATGTTGGAAAGGCAAGGGTTTTTAAATGACATTTTTATTCTTTCTCATTGTAGTATAAATTAAATATGGATATACCATTGGAATAAGTCCCAGTTTTGATGAAAGGCTATAAAACTAAACTAAAATAAACAAAGAAGTAGGTCAAGTGTCACTAGGAAAGCATGTCTGTTTCTTTCAGTAAGACTTTCTGGAGCATTGCCCACAGAATTGGAAAGTGCTTTTTGAGATCCATTAGGTGTTGTTTCTGAGAAATCCTAGAGCAGCGGTTTTAAAGTGTGGTGCAGGAACACCTAGGGGTCTCAAGACCCTTTTAGGGGTCTAGGAGATCAAAACTATTTTTATAATAACACCAAGACATTATTGGCCTTTTTCATTCTCACTCTCTCATGAGAATAGAGTGGAGTTTTCCAGAGATTACATGACATGCAATATTGCCAAAGATTGAATGCAGAAGCAGATGTGAGAATCCAGATGTCTTCTATTAAACCAGACATTAAAGACAGTTTCAAAAATGTGAAACAATGCTACTCATCTCACTATATTTTTTTTGATATGGAAAATATAGGTTTTATTTCAAAAATGTTATTTAGGTTAAGATGTTTATTATCAAATAAACTAGTATTTATTTTTTTCCATTTTAATATCTAATAATATACATATTGATAGATATAACCTATATAAGCAAAAGCTCTTTGGGGGTACTTGAAAGTTTTAAGTGTGTAAAGTAGTCCTGAGACCAAAAGGTTTAAGAACAGCTGTCCTAGAAGAACCTTGGAAGAGGGCAAAGGTGACCTTATTAAAGAATGGGAGGGGCAGTTATATATGGTTAGCAGTTATACAGATGTTAGCAATGATACGCACTTGAGTGCCCTCTTCAAGATTACGAGGCATTCTCACTTGATAAGTCAACAAACCAAACAGTCAAGATATTGATATTCTCACTTGATAACTTGATATTCTCACTTGATATTGGAATTCTCACTTGATAAGTCAACAAACAAAACAGTCAAGATATTGATATTCTTCCCATTTTATAGGTAGGAAAAGTTAGGATGAGAGAAGTTAAGTGATTTTTCAAAGTCATAGAGATAGTTTAGTAGAGCTAGAATCATTTGGTACTTAGGACTGTCAGTCCCATATGTTTCCATGTCACTTCACTGAGTGCGTTGGCACCAAGGATGATTCATCAATCAGCCTGTTTTCTTCTGGTAGATTACGGTATAATGCATGGCAACCTCCACCTCCTTATGAAGAGCAAATTATGTCAGACTGGTTTAATATCCTGAATGACAAAATAAATAGGCATTACTAATACCCTGAATAATATCAGTTCATTTGCAATTCACTAATCAGGTGAAAAAAAGGTCACAGAAAAAAATAGAATAAAATATATCCTGGGGAAATATAGAGAAACAAAGCCTCACTTTTTATAAACACAGGATGAGAACATGTTGGCAAGACGAAAAAGAAAGAACATTTCATGAAGGCCCATGAGGGCCTGTGAAGCTCGTATTTGCTGGTGACGTTAGTGTCCATGAGAAAAAGGCAGCGATAATATTGTGATGCGTCGGCATGCCAGCTGCACAAAAGCGCGACTTGTGCAGCCAGCTAGAAGGCAACTCCTTTCAGAGGACAGTGTCTAGTTCCGTCGTCATGGCTGTAAAAGGTGAGAAATGAAAGCGTGTTTGCACAGTGGTCCTGGAATGATTAGTACAGAGGATTCCGGAGAAGAAGTGAAGAAGAAAGAATGTAGAACAGTCGTTTGCCCGTCAGTCAGGTGGGGGTAATTAGTAGTTGCCTGTGGTACAAACTGTTTCTTCAATTTCGGCACCATGTGTTGACTTGGATCTTTTGGAAACATAAAATATTTCTGCTCTGCACTTCATTATCTGTAGCAGATGTTGCTTTAGGTTCTTGAACTCAATTTGCAGAATGAACGTGGTATCATATAACATACTCAAACGCAGAAGAGGAAACTAGTTAACTGGCCTCTTACCAGGGCAGTTTTAAGAAGCACCAGATTTTTAGCCATTTGCCTGTCTGGAGTTTAAAAGTAGAGTTTATTATAAGAAGAAAAGAAGTGATATGACATGTTTATTGATGTAAATTGTAATTAAAGAATGTTCAGTTATTTTTTCAGAGAAAATACAAAATATATGGCTGGCTGACTAAGGTGGGTAGTCTCTGACTGGTTGCCTCTTCCCCAGTCCCCATCCTGTGATATTTAAAAGAGAAAATATTTTTTTGCAACATTTACCAATGATAAAAAAAATTCACTCAGTATCTTCTTCAAGGTTATCACAGCAAACCTGTTCAGCTTTTGAATCTTATTAAAGTACAAATATTGAGTGGATTCATCAGCTAAGAGATTAGATTTTTGCTTTGTGTATGTTCTGAAAGCAGGGCTTGATATAGAAGGTATGTTTACGTAATCATGCTGTTGCTCAATGCATGCCCTGGCATTTTTCTGCACATACTATCTTAATGGAAATTTACTGGAAAATTCTTGCCAGAATAAACACATTCCTTCAGGAGCAAACGGCTTAATGTACTTTAAGTTCAACTGCACCTCCTTCCTGTGAGCAGATAAACCAAATTATTTGGCATTAGTCATTATTCTTTACACATTCCGCAGTACTTATTATGGCCTCCCATAGGGCTAAGGGTTGTAGAAGAGAAGGTAGGAATAAGGAAGACAATCTTACATTATCACGAGAGATCAAACAAAAACAAGGATAGGGCCTCTATGTATTTGATATGAAATAAACCAAAAATAAATCTGGCAGACATTCTGTGAATTACCTTTAGCTATCCTGGTAAAGCAGAATTAAGAAATAGGACCTATACAGAAGTTGAGCTGCTGATCACAGGAAAAAAAAAAAGTGTGTGTGTGTGTGTGTGTGTGTGTGTGTGTGTGTGTGTGTGTGTGTGTGTGTGTGTGTGTGTGTGTGTGTGTGTGTGTGTGTGTGTGTGTGTGTGTGTGTGTGTGTGTGTGTGTGTGTGTGTGTGTGTGTGTGTGTGTGTGTGTGTGTGTGTGTGTGTGTGTGTGTGTGTGTGTGTGTGTGTGTGTGTGTGTGTGTGTGTGTGTGTGTGTGTGTGTGTGTGTGTGTGTGTGTGTGTGTGTGTGTGTGTGTATTTTAAAGAGAGATAACTTTCTTATTCACATTTTAAGAAGCAGGAGTATAAACTCTAAAATGAGTAGAACACTGACTTTATCAAGGCCACTTGGGTAAGAAGAATGGACCAGGAACAGGGAGGGAGGAAATGCCCCTTGAATTAAGGGATAGGGGAAGATAGGAGAGGCAAACAATAGACAATGGAGACTGGAGGAAAGAGATTCCCACAAACATGTCTCAACTTCCTCCAGCTGGTCCTGGCCCTAACACTCACCCGTCACCACCCCATGCTTCCTTCTGAGGAGAGATTATAGCAATTTTTCATTCATTAATGCAACCAACATTAATAAAACGAGTAATCAAGGCAGAGAAAACCATTTTTAAAGGAATAAAATGGCCTATTAGCATATTACAGTTCTTTGGTTAGTTACATTGCATTTATTTGTAGCAATAGGCAATTAGGTTCTTTAAATTTTTCTAAGAAACCAATTGAAATTGAACTGCTGGGTAACTTTGACTTGTTTAGTGACCTTCTTCCTTATGTAGTATTAAATCTGATTATTTTAAATAATTATAGGAAAGGATAGTTTAAATGTGATAGTTGCATGCTATTAAGGAATTTTGTTTTATTGCATTTCTTTTCATTTTCTATATGTGCAGTAAGTAAAACCAGTCTAGCAAAGCATTACGTCTTAACATCTTGAGAGATAAAAGAATTTGAAATTAGAATAACAAAACACTGGTTCACCAATTATTGTCCCTATTCGAATTATATTTTTTAAAAAATTGAATATAAAGAGGAAGCACCATAATTGATCATTTTCCTCTTTTAAGTTTTAGGGTTTGTTCCATGTCAACATAAACAATATAAAATAAGAATTTAATATTTTTATTATAAGGTCCTTCAATTCAATTTTATCAGGTAACATGAGACTTATAAAGAAAAAATATGGTTGACATGAAATCATAAAAATGCCTTCATTTATTCAATTTATCCTTTTCTTCATAGATAATATTTGATATAATTATTTAAGGAGTAATTCCTAGCTATTTATTCAGAATCGCCAATAAGTGAAATTTCACTGTTTAAAAAAAATTACACATAAGTAATGGGTACATTTATAAGATTAAAACTTGCTTTTTGTAGTAGAGATAACAGTCAACTTAATATATCACTCTTTTATTTATGTTTTAGTTCCAAAAATAAAATGGAAATTCAAAAAGTACTTCATTCATTGATTGCAGATATTTGCTATATAAGGGTTGATTGAGTTTGGTTTACAGATATAAATGATAAATATGACATATTGTTTAAAATTTAGTCTTAATGTAATTAACTAATAGCTTGTAATCAAGATTTCACCTGTTGTTTTCTAAGAACAAAATTTTAGGTTAAAAGAAGTCAAAATAATTTAATTGAAATAGAAATGGAAAAATGATTTCTCATATTGCTATTTGTTCTTCACTATACTTTTTTTTTAAAAAACATAATGAAACTGTTCATTCTATAAGCATATTATAATCAGTAGCATCTCAAGGTAAATAGTTTCAAAATATATATAGCTTTGGTTTTACTAAGGAGAAGTTAAGGAGTTTCCAAATTCTCTAGCTCAGTGCTATGATATTTTAGAAATTGTACTACTTCCTCATGTACTAAAATGAACCATTTTTTCTTTTGACTTTATAGTCGCAGATATGGCCAGTATGCTCTGAACCAAGAAATCACCAAAGTTAAGGAAAAGCCTCCATTTGATCGATCAAGTTCCCAGGATTCGGTGGATGAACTATCTATGGAGGACTATTGGGCTGAACTAGAAAATATCAAGAAATCTAGTGAGAACAGACAAGAAGATCAAGAGGTGGTGGTTGTGAAAGAGCCTGATGGTAATAACTAAATAATAAAACTTCTTTCTTTGTATATGTATTTATGGGGGATGAATACATGGAAAGGAAGAGGAGAACAACAACAATGAAAAATTAGAGATGGGGCAACCCAGAAAAGATAATGCTAGTTGGCTCTCAACTTGAAAGTTACTGTTTGTGGCAGATTTATGGATGCAGCTGCCAAATTCAAGCGGCATGAGTAAATTCCTTTAGGCTTATATGGCTACAGTCTTGTTGGCTAAGCTTACTGTATCATAAAATTTTAGAGTTAGATTTGATCTTTGAAATCATCTAACCTCCTTTTGAATTCCTTCTATGGTATCCTAGCCAGATGATCATATATGGCTTCTGGTGCATGTAGATGCTGATGGAAAGCACACTGTTTTTCCATTGATCGGTCAGCTTGAATTCTTTCGATGTTCTGTAGTTTATCGATTTACAATCTGCTGTACTCTACCATTGACTCATGTGCCATAGTTTTGCTTTTCGGAAGAATAGAACGAGTCTGTTCTGTTTTTTACATGATAGACTTTCAAATGTTTGAAGATATCTTGTTCTTCACCATATCTTTTCTAGAAGGAAAATAGATACACATAAACCAATCCTTGTGGGTGGTTTTCTGACATAGCCCAGTACTGGTCATCTTATCTTTCAAAGTATAATACTCCAGATTGGATGCAATGCCACAGGTTTAGCCAGCTAACCTAAAGGTATAGATTTGGGCAGTATAGATGGCATTAGCCTTTTTGGCCTCCGTATTTGCTTCTTTCTTGTATTTGGTCCATAATTTCTCTCAAGTCTCTTTGCAGCCATATTTCCCACAGTCTTTGCTACTATATTTGATATTCTAGAAGAAACATGTAAATATATTTAAACTAAATAATTAAATATAATTAAAATGAATTCATTGATTTTTATTTATTATGTGATTATCAAGAAGAATTGGGAATGTTTTTACATGTTTATGCCTTTTCTTTGACTTTAAATTGAGTTTTACCTCTACTCTTTAATGGATAAAAGGATTCTATATTATGTTGTTTGCTTTCCTTATCATGGCAATATCAGCTTTTTTTTCTGGCAATTTGGTTTTGTACACCTCTACTAAGCTTTACCTTAACGTTATTAATAATAATGGCTGACTTTTTATGTTAGTGGTAAACATTTTTTGTTGCCTGGCATGCAGAATGTCTGGCACTATATTATGTTTCCTGAAGGCAAGGTTATTAATACTGACTTCTACCCTCAAGGAGTTTATATAGTATAGAAGGATAGACAGGCAAACCAGTCAGTACTACACCATGTGATATGAGCTATATTAGAGTCCTGCAAAGCTCTTCCCGTATAACATGCTCACATTTGATTATGAGTCACCCAGGATAGCTGTGTTACAGGTTACAGATGAGAAAACGGAGTTAGCTGGAAGTTAAACAACTTGCCCAAAGTGAATGATATAAGGGCTCAGAGATGATGTATTAATACCAGTCTTATGTGTCCCAAGTAGCTGGTCTTTCACTTTCCTCTATAAAACTGATGCTTGGAGTGAAAATATTCTAGCTAGCTTTTTGTTTTTCTATAATTTTTATTAAGATCTCACGTAATATTTGCTTTACTGTTTTCATTCTGCTTTTAGTGTTTTGAATTGATCCAGTTATGTAATTGGTTGCCTAAAGTAAACTATTTTTTTGCTGAAAATAGTGCTTTTTTTTTTTTTTAATTTGTGAAAAACATGATTCTGAGGTGCTGAGTGGAGGGAAAAAAATTAATTTGAAATTGATTAGTTCCTGATGTTCAGATGCTCTTTACTTCTTTACCACACTTCCTTGTCAAAGTAAACTATTTTTTTGCTGAAAATAGTGCTTTTTTTTTTTTTTAATTTGTGAAAAACATGAGTCTGATGTGCTGACTAGAGGGATTAAAAAAATTAATTTGAAATTGATTAGTTCCTGATGTTCAGATGCTCTTTACTTCTTTACCACACTTCCTGTCAGCTACAGTGAACAGAGAAAACAAATTTTTTCATCAGTTAGTGTTGGACTTTGGGGTAGTGCTGAATTTAAGCCAAGAAACAGGACTTTAACAGATATCCCCAGCATTGACTTCCTTCTGTAACTTAATGGAAATAAGTTATATTTTCATTGCTTGCTCATAGAAAGGGAACAGTATTATCTTTCTATAGTTAATCTGCAGAGAAGTTATAGAGGTTAATTACATGTGAAGTCATTTAAAAATTTTAATTGAGTATATATGAAATAGATCTAAAATTTGATATCTTTGTGGCTGGAGTTTATGGCAGTTGTCCAAGTTTCATATAATGAGTCTTAGCACTGTGGTTTGGTTGCAATAGAAGAGTTTCAGCTAGAGTTTTTTAAAAGCTTAAAGATGTGAAAGTTCTCATTTTTTATTTAAATGCCATTTTTCTCTACTGTCTTAGAGGGCGAATTGGAAGAAGAATGGCTTAAGGAGGCCGGTTTGTCCAATCTCTTTGGAGAGTCTGCTGAAGATCCCCAAGAAAGCATGGTGTTTTTATCAACCTTGACCCGGACCCAGGCAGCAGCTGTTCAGAAACGGGTAGAGACGGTCTCCCAGACCTTACGGAAAAAAAACAAACAATACCAGATTCCTGACGTCAGAGACATATTTGCTCAACAGAGGGAGTCAAAAGAAAAAGTAGGTTTCCTTTGTTTTGATGTTAAAGCAAAGGAATAATTGCTTAGAATCAACTAGACCAATCCAATTCAAATAATTAAAAACATAATGAGCATTTATTATATGCAAGCACTAAAGCTCTGTGCAGGCTTGTGTTAGGTGACTTTGGAATCTTAGGCGTGGCCCCAATCCCCCAGACAATGTGATTACCAATTGTTCTTTACAGAACAGTAAAGGTAGGGGATTCTTCCTTATCTATTAACTCTTGTAGGAATATTTGCTTTTTCCTAGACACATTGGGGGATGATTGGAAGTGGAATGCGAGGGAGCTAATTGCAGCCGAATTACAAAGCAGGAACCCGGAAACATGAGATATCTTCCCTTTTGTGTCTAGCACTTAGCATGGTGCCTAGTACATAGAAGATTTGAGTAAATATTTTTTAAGATGATTAATTTATTAGTGGATAATTTATTAATTGTATTAATTTATTCATTATTGTTGGAGTCTGCTAGAGACTCTGGGACTAATGAGTGAAAAAAAATGTCAAAGAAGGCACGGTAAGAGACATATTGCCCAGAACAGTAATACTCAAAACAGCCCAAAACAGCCAGTTGGTGGGCTATTTACTATTCATCCATGAGGACATAAGGAGCTGGCACAAAATGTAAATTAATATAATTTATTCCTTCATCAGGAAAGTCTTACTACCAAAAAAATCAGCTGAACTAAATGATGTTCTTAGGATTAAAGTTGATTTACATTCTGGCTTATTATTCTCAGGTGACACTGAATAGCTCTAGCCTAAAAAACCTAGTGGGGTGGTTGGAATGAGAGCAAACAAAAGGAATATTGAACAATGATTGCAATGATAATAATAACACCAATAATTGCTGCCACCACTCGTGAGCACTTAACTTTGATAACCATTCTCCTTGCCTTATTTCATTTACTTCTTAGAGCTGTTCTGTAAGTGAGGTATCACCATTTCCATTCTATGGCTGCGGCTCGTAGACAAGTAACTTACGCAGTGTCCCGTAGATAGTAAGCCTAAATTTGTTCGACTCGAGTATATTTTTAACCCCTATGCATCCTATTATATTTGGGTTTCCATGATTCTGATATTAACTAATCCAAGCATGAGATTCTATTTACACTATAAATACAAAACAACAAAATTGTTATGACTCTAAAAGAAATAAGGGAATGAGAAGGTTTATATTTAAGGTATCTTTCTGTCATGTAGAGGGAGTTTGCTTTTTGTAGACATTCCATTCTTAAAGGAAATCCTTTATAGCTGTAGATCTAAACTCCATTTGCATGCTCAATTGTGAATCAAATCCAGTCTAATTTATAATTTTGGGGTCACTGGATTGTTCCAGGCAGCAAGAGATCTTGCTGCTGTGACGTAGTTAAGCACTGACAGTGATTTTTGAGACATCCACTGGAGTAGGTTTCCAGCTGAGAAAAATGAATGGTAAGGAAATATGGGATTATGACATATCCTTCCCAATGAAAGAACCCTTTCTAAGGCAGGTAAGAGGAAGTGAAAAGTGGGGTGGGAGTGCAGAGAGCTGAACTTGAGCAAAATACATACCCTAGGATTCACTCCAGTTTCCACGAGGATGTTGCTACTACGTGCTAGACACAACCTTTTTCAGTAAATTCTTGGTAATGCCTAAACCATATCATTTGAGTCCAAGGTAATTGTTGGAGTGCATCATCTGATCAAGTCATTAAAGGAGAAATAGCACAAGTAAATTAAAATAATGTTAACTTGCTTACACTGCATGCCTTTAATTGAAACACTGCCACCCATTAGAATATATCCTCCATTCCTCAAGCAAACATGGGCTAGCCATCTTCACTTATAGTTCTTGTTCTCAAATAAGTACATATTCAGCTCTTTTATTTTAAATGCTTCCTCATGAAGCCCTTGCTGACACTAGGAAATATAATACAGAAATGAATACCATCTGCACTGTCATCTTCAATTGCTAAGGAAAACAATTCTGACCACATGTTCCAAAATACATGTTCACATGTAAGATTAGAATCGCTTGCTGTATTCATTGTGCCAATGACAGGCTCGTGGGCAAAGGAAGGAGGGTTGTATTGCTTAATACAGAGGGGGATTGAAGTAGTGCCATGACCCTTGTACCACTTCTGTGATTTGGTAGTCACTGTACACTCTCCCAGGTACCGTCACTCTGTGTGGTACACTAACAACAGTCTCTGTGTACCTGCCCCATTGCTTTTCTGGACTCTACCTAGACTTCAGGTGGAGGGAGGAGTGCTTCTTGGGTCACAGCTTGAGGTAAAAGCTATGACGAGGATGACTAGAAAGGCCACCTTCTTTAGTGTAGAGACGGAAATCCAGTAGGATGATTATTTTAAAAATAGTTCATTCAAATAGACGTCTGTGTATGATTGATCTAGACTCCTCTTCCTGATTACCAAATTCCTTCTCAAGCCTGACTTGGAAAGGTGGTAGTGCTGGTACTGCTCGGCCACACTTTCTGGCGTCAGCATGTTTTACTATGTCCATAAACCCCTTGGAGGGTGACATTTCTTAGATGTCATTGCTCCAACTGCTTGAAAAAGGAGTTCCTTTGCATATTGGTGCTCTTATTACCTGTTTGATAATTTATTTTTAATTCCTTTCACATTTGTTATGAGCTTTTTTTAATTTGAAGATTTCTATTTTATTACCTACATGTCAACTGGTAATTTTGTTTTATAATAGCATTATTGAGATATAATTTGCATACCATCTAATTCACCCATTTAAAGTCTACAGTTCACTGCTTTTTAATATATTCACAGATTTGCAACCATCACTACAATCAATTTTAACATATTTTCATCATCTCCAAAATAAAGCTCTTACCCATTATCAGTCATTCCCCATATTTCCCTCTTAGCTCTAGGTAACCACTAATTGATGGCTATTACTAGCTTTTTTGATATGTTTGTCTTTTCCCCTCAACTAAATAGTGGTGTTCTTGATGGCAGGGACACTCTTAATGTTTTTTATTTTCCCCATAGGACTTAGTATTGTGTCTTAACAATTCATGGGTAATAAAATATTTGTTGATTATAACCATAGTACTTTTTTCTATGATTGTTAAAATTCTGAATACAATTCTTATACTCGAAAGGTTAGTAATGGAATTATTTGCAATACCATTTTTCTGGTTGTGAGTTGGAGATGACTAAATGGCCCATTTTCTATCTTTAGGCTCCAGATGGCACTGAATCACAGTCAGTCAGAACAAATGAAAACAAATACCAAGGAAAAGATGGTATGTTGGACCTGTTCTCTTGTATTTTCCCGTTTATTAGTATAACAAACAGATACAGCCTTTTAAAACATTCACTTTCAATTCTAGTAAGCAAATTCTATTAAAATAATAATATAAAGTACTCAAGTAGATAATTATAGAAGGCTGAGAAAATAGTGGGCCTTTGATTTAAAAAAAAATTTTTTTTTTTAATGTTTGTGTATCTCTGTTCTAACCTCTCTATATACATAGTTGCCACATTTCTTGAATCCTTACCATGTGCAAGGTACTATTAGGAGGTGTTTACCTAATTTAATACATTCAAGAGTTCTATGTAGTAGGTATTGTTTTTAACCTATTTTACAGATGAGAGAACTAGAATTTAGAGATGTGAAGTCACTTTCCAAGGCCATACAGCTAAAGTGGATTTGAAGCCTTATTCTCAAATCATAAGTTCTCAATCCATAAATGAAGGGGTCTCCAACCCCTGGGCTGTGTACAAGTGACCTGTACCAGTCCGTGGCCTGTTAGGAACCAGGTCACACAGCAGGAGGCGAGGGGCTGGTGAGTGAGTGAAGCTTCATCTGTATTTGCAGCTACTCCCCAGCACTAGCATCACTGCCTCAGCTCCAGCTCAGATCATCAGGCATTAGATTCTCATAGGAGCACCTGTTCCTGATGTCAAAAAGGTTGGGGACCACTGATAAGTGGATTGCTTTTCAGAAAGTTTAGAAAACCTTAAAATAGTTAATTTTTTTTGACAATTGATTATAATTGTCATTTATGTACTTTTCCTCCTTAATACCTATTAATTTAGAAATAGATTAGAAATTCAAGGCATGGATCAAAATAAATATTAAGACTTTGTTAGTACTTATCAAGAAATAATTTATAGTTATTTCATTTATTTACAATAAAGAAAAATGTTCAAAATTAAAATGATAGACAAGCTTAAGAATTTAATCCTTCATGTGTTGTTATTTAAAAACTATAACAGAAGTGGTCTGTAGCAGTGGGATTTTAGCCAGAGGACTGTCCTTCTCTTTTGTTTTTGTTCTTAAGACCTGGCCCATGTCAGTAGTGTTGTACGTGGATTGGAAATAGTTAGGGAAGAGTACAGGGAGACTATGGAGGCCTGGGAACTGTTCCCAACTATCCTATAAAAATCAGGAGTTTAGTCCAAGATTATATGTGGGCATTTTAGAGTCTTAGAGCATCCAGTATCTCAATTTTCCCTTTCATATTTTTCTGAGAACTTTTCTCCTGCACCCCTTCCTTTGAAGAAAATACACGCACACATCTGTGAATACATGTAACTGTGTGCATGTGTGGGTATAGACACATACATGTCTATATATGTTTATTTATGAAAGCACCTCCTTTTTATTATTCTGTGGAGGTTTCTTTAGTTGCATTTTTTTTCCCCCAGAATGAAATTACTACGTGTTTCCCCAGGTCTACATACCACCAAACACTGAAGTGGCAAGCTAGCTGGAATAGCCTGTGCTGGCCTGCTAGAGAGCTGGGTCATCAAGAGAGACAGATGAACCTTTTGTGCCAATGTCAATATGCTTTAGGCTTTGGAGAAGAGCAACTGGCAGTTGCTAAATGAATACTGAGGAAAACATTGTCTTTTCTTGATGTTTTCCTCCCTTGCCAGAGATGGTGATATAGGCTATATAAACAGAAGTTCTGGAAGATGAGTTCATTATACGAGCACTTTCCAGTCTAGCTTGCAGCAGGCTAGTGAAGTGTAACAAACTTGCTGTCTGATTTACATCTGCTTTTGCTGGAATGCTGTGAAGTGGGCATAGAGTCTCCAATCAGAATAATAAGAGAGAATGTGTGTAACACCATCCAAGTCACTGAGTCTTTACTACTGCACCTGTTCTGGGCAATGCCATACTCTTTTGCTAGCCAGTGAATTAATCAGCGTTATGCAAACATTGAAAGGTTTGGAATAAAATGCATGTCTGGAGTGCAAAAGTACAGCTTTCTGCTTGAAATCCAAAGGCATGGGTAACATAGTCTATTGTAAGTGTTTTCTTTGGGCTTTTATACATGTTTAGTCAAATATATTTATTCGAAATGAAAAGGTTATCAAGTTTTAATGTTCTAAGAGCTGTAATGTAGCAAGGGTTAATTAGTCTACCATTAAGCATCAACCTTAACATTTTAGCAAATTTTACAACTCCGTGTATATGAAATACTCAGCGTTAATATATACATTTAGATAAAAATGCACAAATAATTTTTATAACTTTCATATTAATATGTGTATTTTCTTATTTTCTTTTTTGATTTCCATAAAAAGGAAAATTCTTTTTTAAAATAAAGGCCCTCGGGATATTTCATATAATTGGAAAACTTTAAGATTTGTAAAATGTTTATAAGCCAATGCTACTTACCACTTCAAAACCAAAGGATAATGAATTAAAGAAATCATATTATTTACTTGAAGACTTTAAGAGTCAAAAAGTTTATCTCAGCATTCTCTTAACTTTTCTCTTTGAGAGTAGATAATTGATTCATGAATACTTTTGTTAGACAATTCACTATCCATTTCCTGTAGCAGCACCCCCTCAATCCCACTGAAACTGTTTTTTCTACTATCTACCCTAACTTCATTTACCATTTGAATTTTTATGCTTTTATATACCATGCTTGTTTTCATTTTTGCCATGTTTTGGAGGAAATTTATATTTTTAAAATGTTATAACTTAATTATAATTTCTCTACTCAGTTTTTAATTCAATGCAAGACATTCGTTTAAGGTGGTGGTGGTGGTGAATTGTAATTCTGACCGGAGTGGGGGATGCGGAGGGAAAAAGGGAGTAGTTTTAAAATTCTTGTCCATATATAGTCAGCTTCTGGAAAAGTAGCTTCTAATTTAGGAAAATGGCTAATCTTTTTTATCCCCCTTAAAATGGTTTCCTAAGAAACCAACATCCATGTTCACAGTGAAACATAAAACAGTGTAAATTAGTGGGAAAATAAAACTAAAATTGTGCTTTGGCATTTAAGTTAATAGTTTAAAAGTTAATTGTATAAAAGTCTGGTTATTCTAATTTAAAAATTATCACAGGAGTTGGAAAAGCATAAAATGTGGCATAGATGACATCAGATAAATACTATCAAAGAGCTCACCATGAATTAAAGGTCTGCAATGAGAAAATAACAGTAATCTTGCTGTTGGTTCCAGAGTTTTTTTAATACGAGTTGTATTAAAAGCAAAAACTTATCAAATAGTCAAATTTAGAAGCATTTTCACCAAAGCTTAAAGCTGGTGTTTTCAGCAAAGCTTTTTAAACATTATTTTTTTCCCTGTGGAATTAACAGCAAACAAACAAACAAATGTTAAACTTATTATACCTTTGAAATGTTGATATAAATAAATGTCTGAAAATTATTTGACTAGGTTTATAGATATAGGACCTTTGGTAGTCTTTGATAGAATCAGGTGCAAAACCTATTGATTCCTGTACCAGGTACCTCCAGACCTGACTCCCACAGTGATAAATTTTTGGCAGTAGCTCTTGTTTTGAAAGTTTTACTGTGATAGGTAGGTCACATTCCAGAAAGGAGATGCAGGGAGTAAAGAGGTCTATTCCAGGAATCTGTTCTACTGCGAGGAAATTAAATAGGATATCGCCAGTTCTAAGACAAATTACAACTAACCTCCTCCTTCTCTTTTTTGGCTTTTAATCCCCCAGTGTAAAATATAACAAGTAAATCGACCAAATTTTTGTGAGGTTTTTCAGTCAGAGTTTGAGATTATCGAGCAATGTTTTGGAATTCAACCCAATCTAAGAATTGTGACCTCAGGGAAAGATTCTACAATTGAGCTAAGAATTTCTAGTCACTGCCATCCCCCTTCTACTCTCTGTGCACCATTGGTAGGATACCCTGAATATACTTTTGACAATTAAAATAACCGTTAATTATTGCCTATAGTAAACAGTACTTTTCTTAAAGGTTTTCACATAGTCGATGTGTTAGAAGTAAAAAAAGAAGGAAGAAAGGAAGAAGGAAGGAAGGAAGGAAGGAAGGAAGGAAGGAAGGAAGGAAGGAAGGAAGGAAACATGGAAACATGGAAACAAACATGGAAACATGGAAACAAACATGGAAACACATGGAAACATGGAAACAAACATGTGAATTGGATCTTTTTTTTCCCCGCCCCCAGACCAGGCATCTAACCTAGATGTTGGTGAAAAGGAGCAGATCCTACCAGTGCCTGAGGAAACACCTGCCTCTGAAACAGATATCAACCTGGAGGTATCATTTGCAGAGCAAGCCGTCAATCAGAAAGAGAGCTCCAAGGATGGGACCCAGAAGAGCCAAGGCAATAATACCCTATTACCTGTACGTAGTACATTATTCAGATGTCACTAATAGAAGTGATTATTTTTAATCAGCTTTATATTTTGAAAATATCAAACCCACGGAAAAGTTGAAAGAATAGTATAGCAAATACCCATACAATCTTCATTTAAATCCAGTCAACAGTTAACATTTTACAAACTTTGCTTTCTTTCTTTCTACATCTATCTGTATTTATGTTGTGCTGTCAGGTATATACTCTTTTTTTTTTTTTTTAAATTTGACAAGGGCCTACAAAACAAAACACAATTATAGTACTTCAAAAATTGAACACTAAAATTGTATTTAATATACTATTATAGTGAATTTTCTCCAATTATCACAATATTGTCCTTTATAGCTTCTTCCTTCACCACCCCCATCTGGGATTCAAACAAGGGTTATATGTTGCATTTGATGTCATCGTTTTTGGTTTTCTTGAATCTAGATCAGGTTCCTTGCTTTTGTTTACTATGTTCAAAGAGTCCGAATCAGATTTCTGATTTTGTATTTGTCTTCATGACTAGATTCAAGTTAAACATTTTTGGCCAAAGTTCTGCATAGATTATGTTTTTGCCTCCTACTGCATCATCAAAAGAGGAGCACAATGTCAAATGGTTCCTTTATTGATGATGGAAGTTTGACCACTTGGTTAAGGAAATGTTCACCAGATCTCCCCATTGTAAAGATACTTTTTCCTATGTGCACTTAATACTAATTTATGATCCTTGAAACTGGATGAATATCATATTTGCCAGTAATAACCTATTACTCAGAGGTTTCACAATGCATTTGTAATCCTTGCCTGAAACAATAATTAAACTGGAGACTAAGAAAGTGATTTTCTAATTCTATTATTTCTTCTACGTTGATTGGCTGGCAATCTTCTATATAATTGCTTTTTCTCCCTTTTCTTTTATTGTTATTGAATATCACTACAGACTGCTTCCTTTTTTCATTTAGTGATTTATAAAACATTATCATTTTTCTTTGATTTTTAAATTTACCCAACTTTGACCATTAGGATCCCTTCAAGATGGTTTCCATGTCCTGTTAACATATTCTCAACATTCCTTTACATTCTTGCTTTCTAGTACAAAATGTTCTTGGCTCACCTTGTACTTTTCTCATCTCAGACTTGAAAGAATCCATTTCATCAAGGAGCCCTGGTTCCTTTTAGTAGTAGACTGTATTTAAAAACCAGGCTTTATGTACTGAGTGTTCTCATTGCTACTGAATGTCTTACATTTTTTAAAAAAAATATGTTCGTTTATTGTTTGTTTTATAGAATTCCACAGATGTTAAAAAGAATACTATAATGAATCCCCAAATACTCATCACCTAGCCACAACATTTATTAACCTATGGCTAGTCCTGACATACCCGTACCCCCAACCAATTCCCTATTCTGTATTATTTCAAAACATCTCTGAATTATATTTTATTATTTATAAATGTTTCAGTATTTATTTCTAAAAGCTAAAGAAGTTTCTATTTTTAGAAAGTCATATCCATATTACCATTATTATGTCTTTAAAAATGTTAACAATTCTTAATTTCAAATATTCAGTCAGGTGTTCAAATTTCAAACTGTATTACAGATTTCATAATTTTTTTTTACAGTTTGTTTGCCTCAGAATTCAAATAAGGTTTATGTCTTTTAAGATTCTTTAAATCCCTTCCTCCCTTCTTTCTTTCTCTCCTGTGTGTCTCTCTTTCTCCCTCCTTCCCTTTCCTACTCTTTCACTTCTTTTATCACTCTTCCTCATTCACCCAATCCTTCCTTCCCTCTCTCCGTTCCTCTCTCCCTTGAAATTTAGTTGTTGAAGAAATCTAGTTATTAATTTGTAGGGAATTCCCTGCCTTTGACTAATTCTATTCCCATGTTCTTCTGTTTCCTTTAAATTGGTTGACTCTAGATTTATCATATCAAGATTCGTTTTTTTGGGTGAAGACTATTCACATATGACTCTATGTTAAGAGACACAAAATATCTGGTTGTCTTCCTGTTTTTGTGAAGTTATCAGCAGTTGCTGATTAATGCTTGGATCCTTTATTAATGGTTATAAAATTATGTCTAATTTCTTTTTAAAATTTATTAGTTTGACTACTTTAAAAAAAAAAAACTTTCTCAAAATGGTTACTTTCTTTTACTTACCAGTCTTCAATTTTATTTTGCTCCCCAGCATCACTAGTGACCATTTAGTGTTGTTTTATTTTAATTTTCTTGTATAAATACTATCAACTTATGGTTTTAGATGTATATGACATGACATCAGGCAAAATTTCCCATTTTAATCTGGCATATTTGTCTGTTTCAAGAAACATCGGTTCCATTTATTAGAAGTGTACGTTTATGACTATGATCAGGACACTAGGAGTATCGCTTTCTCTGGGTTGGTCATTGTTTAAAGCCTTTTGAGAGGACAGAAGTACACCTGTGCCTTCTTTCTTCCGTACTGAGAATAGTGGTTCTTATGATACATCAGATAATATAATTAGAATACCACATAATTGCTTGTTTTATTCTCCATTATAGTATAAAGCATTCTCAGATAACAATACTAACAGTACTATCAACAATATGATTATCAGAAAACAGTTTAAACTTGTTTTTCTTTAGTTTGTATTTTGTTTTGCAAGTATGTAAAACAAAAACATGGTTCAAATGTCAAACTAAAATCAAGGTGTATTAAAAATCTAACTAAGTCTAACTTCTAGCCTTGAGCTATCACTCTCCCTTACAGGTAAATTATTTTAATTTTAATTTTATGGTTATTCTTTGGTTCTTAGATAAATGATAGCCCACTATACAGACTTTTCTTCACCTTGAGACTTTTTCTTTTCACTTAGCAGTATATTTTGGAGATTGCTCCATAATAGTATAGAAAAATATTTCTCATTCCTTTTTATAGACACATTGTACTCCATTGTGAGAATATATCACAATTTTTTCTTTCTTTTTTTTTTTTTTTATTCAACCAGTCTCCTAATAGTGGGCATCTGGAGTGTTTTTAGGCTTTATCGTATATTTTTAAGAACCTACCTTTAAGAAAGTTTATACCTAGAAAAAGTGAAGGAGTATGTATCATTTGGCCTAAAGAGATGATTTACACTCTCAAACTATCCTTAGCCAAAGTGTCTTTTCAAAGACAGTCTTCATCTCAACAGACAGAAAGGATTTAAAGTAACTGACAATAGAGTCTAATTAAACAAAGTGAAGACATTGTTGACTTTTAAGTTGATTCAAACAATGGCATAAAATATAAATTATCTTCCACTTGTAGACTTAAAACAAAACTTCCTATCAAATTTTATTCTCTGCTTAATAAACTATTTTGTGCTCACTGACCTTCTCAATTTTATTCTTGTGGTGCCCCAAGCTTAACGTAACCTTCCTATTTCTACCATCTGTTTCATGTTTACTAAGGAAGTCTCAGCAGATCCTTTGGGGTCTAGCTCAGTATCTAACTTTACTGTTAGAAGTCTTTCTGATTGTGAACTTGCATTAAATAAAATATCTAAAGTCATTCTTTAAATTATTAGATGCTGTGCTTTTGATAATTATTGCTAATTGATCCACATATTTATTTATAGACATGCATCTGTTCATCGCTACAACCATTCATTTATCCATATGTCTTCTAGAAGACATGGACATATTGTAAGCTTTCCATAAGTGGTTGATGAACTGAATATTTGTATTTACCACTCTGAGGCAGGTGTCTAAGCAGGTAAAACCTTCCATTCCATTTCTACTCCATGCTCCTCTGCTTCTGAAAATATGCAGTAGGCTTTATGTAATACATTGTTCTCTGTTGACCTCATTTTATATCCACTTCCTTTTTCTTACAGTATCGAACAATCTTTGTTAATTCTTTATGATCTCTCACAGTGGATTTAAATTTCTCCTCTTAAATTTGGAGATCTGGTTTTACAACCTTTATGTGCTTTAGTTTGAAAAGTTAACCACTACTAACTGTGGCATTATGTACCCAATATATCTCAGAAAGTATACGCTGTACTTATTTATCAAATGATCTCCATGAGGTAGATATTTTGTTTCCCATTTTTCATACACATTAGAGAGATTACATGGCATGCTAAGGCTTGGCTTCAGTGACTAAACTTTTGAAGTCGGAGTTTGGTTTCTGGAGGACCACGCTGACTCCACTTAATGTATCCTAAGGGTAGATATGCATTTAATTTAAGTGTGAGTTTAAATGTCCTTGTATTGGAGCTACTGACACCTTGTTCAGGATAGCTTAGGATGTTGTGTAAATAAGATTCTGGTTTGCTGAGTCCATCATATAAAGCAGAAATTTCATATCACTCCTTCATCCTACCTGAGAGGCTAAAACCATTAAGGATTTATTCAAGAATTTTTAAGATCATAGCTTTGAAATGATCTTTGACATGAGTACGGTAAAGTTTATACCCTAGGTGAATGCTTATATTTTAGTTCTTAGGTCCTTATTTAGTCAGTGTCTTGGACACTTATTGAATTATGTTTAATTCAAATAAATTCGTGTTTCATAACAACTCTGGTTGCGTGGCAACACAGTTCCATGCATACTAAAGGCCAAAACTAGACATGCAGGCCCAAGTTGGGAATTTGTTGGAGAATGGAATACCTCTCGAGTAAGTTAAATGACAGTAGAAGCAATGGTAGTTTGGAATCGAGTGAGGACACTAAAAATCTAAGGCAGACACAAACTTGTACACGATATAAAAATAGGTATTTAAGGTCATAATGCCGAATTGTCAAGAAAAGGTTAAATTATGACTATTGCTCTTCATTAAAAAAAAAGGAAATATTTTAAAAACCTGCAAATTTGAAAGATTCTAAAAACATTTGTATAGAAAAGTATTCATGCTCTGGGGATGAAAATGAATTAAATACTATAATAAAATCACATATTACACATGAAAAAGTCTTAAGTAGGAAATGACTTGCCTAGCAGATGCTATAAAAAAAGTCGTTGGTGGAAAGTGACCAAGGGAAAATAGATTCCCTTGCTTTCCAAGTCAAAGCTCAAGTGACTGATGAGTAAATAAGTCAAATTCATCCTAACTAATGAGGTGTCTAAGGGGCCCCTAGTATTATGAGGATGCAGTGCTGAAGAGCTACCTGATGAATTTACAGTAACACATGAGAACCAATATTTAAAAAAAAAAAAATTATCTCACTCTTTAAATATATTTTTCAAAGGGTAAAGAGCTTTACCCTTTTGCTGAAGTTGCATTGCCTTCTCTTATCCAATGAACTGAACCATCCAGTCTATTAACTAAACAAAACTGCAGGAAACTTCATAAATATTTAAAGCTGCCTTTATGAATTAAACATTGGTATAAAGAACTAAGTTCTTTCATTAAGCACAATGTTAAATAAATAAATAAATAAAGCTCATGCATGGCATGTATTGCTAGGTAAATCAAATGTTTGAACTAATAATATTTCAGGTTCCTTTAAACATTTACCTCAGGCAATTCTTTAAATAATTATATTACATATGTTTGGCTTATTAGACCAGAGCAACTGATTTTAATGAAATTTTTTTTTTTTTTAAATAAATCGTTGGTAAATAGGATTGGGTTTAACCCTTCAGAAAACAATGCAATTAGAACTCTGGGGCCAAGCATGAGGAAAATGCGAAGAGTTTTGTGTGGTTTTAAAGAAAGAGCTCTGTAAAAATCAAAGGAAATGAAGGGACCCTGCACCTCACTGAATCTGATTCTGTGCTTTCTCCCTGCAAGATGTGTATCTTCATTCATCGACTAGACTGGGACAGAACCTGCAGTGTGCTAAGCCTATGATACAGTCAGGTTACAGGTGATTAAGACATGACTCCTCTCCTTGAGGGCCTCACAGTCTTACATCAACACAGATCAGCCTAGATTCCTCCCTGCCTGCTGTGATGGATGGGAAAAGTGGAGCAGAACAAAATGATTACTGAACTTAGGATTTAGAAGCTCTGAATTTGCATCATTATTCCATCACTGGCTGCTATTTAGTTCTCTTTACTGAGCTTCAGTTCCTCCACCTAAAATATGCTGTAATAATTCTTATCCTATGAGGATTTTTGCAGAATAGAATGAGAGACAGTTTATCAAATATGAGTACTATTCTTATTTTTTCCTATCTTGCAGTAAGTTAGGAAAAAAGGAAAACCACGAAATCTTGAAATTGAAAAAGTTTGGTGAAAAAAATGTAGTAATAATACATACCACTTTTTGAGTGCTTAATATGTGCCATTTGATCCCTACCACAGCCTTATAAGGTAGGTTCTATTATTACTCCCATTTTACAGATGAAGTGGCTGAGGCACAGAAGTTGATATAATTTGCTAGAGGTCACATAGATAGTAAGTGAAGAAGATAGGATTTGCCAGCTTAGTTTGGCTTCATATTCTCAACCCCTTTGCATAGCACCATGGAGGCCATTAACTGTTATGCTGGAAATTCACTTAGGCTGCTTATTCAATCATGTCTACTGCTGTTTTATTTAATATTCTTATAGAGGGAAAAATGTATTACCAAAAGTTAAGAAACAAACTTATTCTCCTATAATGGACTCAAAGATTTTCTCTTAGAGTTCAGTTTGCTTGAAAGAAATTAGCTCCTGAAAAATCCAAACTTGCAGATTTTAAGAATTGTTTTAGGATGACAACTCTCAATCATTTTGGTCTTATAACACCTTTAGGCCCTTAAAAATTGTTGAGGACCAGAAAAAGCTTTTATTTTATCAGTCGGGAAGGATGTTGGTGATGAGAATAACTACCATGGCTTCTAGCTTTGACAAAACCTCAGATGCGTGGTCTCTTGTCCAGACATTTCTAATTTCATATTGTTAGAGTGTTAGTTGTCTCTTGGGGGTTGCAGGTCTCTATAAGTTTGCTGTGACTGAACACAGAAGGCATATGCAGATTTCTACAGAAATTATGATTCCATGAAAGATTTTGGGGAGATGAAGAAGGCTGGCCCGAGGTGATTTTGGAATGTGAAGAATTTCTTTGTATTAGGTCCCATGGATATTTGTCACTGACCTGTGTTCTTGAACTGTGAAACGTGAACATGTAGACAAAAGGATAGTTCTTTTTATAATTAAACAACTTAAAAAATTGTGCGTACGTTGGGGGAGGAACTTTCATTAATATTAGTTATACCTATGGACATTTACCATATTAGAAATTAAAGTTGAGAAGTTTAAAAATATTTATTCAATTTAAAACAGTATTATAGTTGACAACTTTTTAATGAAAAATAATAATATTTTCTAAAAAAATTAAGAAATGTGGCATGGTTTCACATTTTAGCAACTTTATTCTCATATCTACTTCTGTATGCAGTCTGTTGCACATGTATTATACCTCTGGAAAACACTGTATAATCATGGGATAATGAGTGTGAAAAGTCAAATTATGTTTTAATATTAATTCTTAAAATAGTTTGGCACTCTTGGTCTCCTTGAAAGGATGTTGGGTTCCCCACCAGTTCGTTGGATTACACTTTGAAAACCGCTACTTTAGGACATGTCTTTTGCAAGAGTTTTTAGACTATGGAGTGTTAATGAAACAGTATAAAAATGAGCAAAGCAAAGGGATTAAAAGGGAATCAGTTGAACATTCTTGGACATTTAATTAAGAAGTCAAAGGTAAACCTAAAAGATAAACTAATAAGATTGTTAACAAACTATTTGAAAATCATTATTATTTTAATAATCAGTAAATACAGTGGGACTGCAATTTGAATTAAATGTTAGAGAAGTTTATGTTTTTTCCTTGTGCTTTGTGTTACATATTTAATGTATTTAATATTAAAAGAGGCAAAATAGGTAGTAGATAATATTTGAGAAAAGCAAAACAACAAAAACACCACTTATTTGCTTGTGATAGTAGTGTCTCTAGGTCTGGGTAGTATCTCTAAGTCTCAGTTGACTTATTTAGTGGTGAAAGTAATATTAGTAGCAACCACATAAATGTGTTTGGGAAGCGCCAGGCAATGAAACCTCACAACGGCCCTCTGAGTTAAATGGTCTTCTCCCCTTCCCTCTCCCTGTTCCCCTTCTTTTCCCTCCCTCTCTCCCTCCCTCCCTCCCCCTCTTCTCCCTCTCTCTTTCTCCTCCCCTTTCCCTTCCCTCACTTCCTCTCTTCTCCCCCTTCCCATCACTCCTGTCCTCCTTTCCCTCCCCTTCTTCCCCCTTCTCCATCTCCTCCTCCATCCCTTCCTCCCATTTTACTGAAAGAATGGTTAAGCAGTTGCCAGAAGTCACACACACACTGGTATTCTGGCTCTAAAGTCCATGCTCTTAGTCTCTTCTCTGCTATTCACCTCCCGCTGTGTTTGCTACACAGCCCTGTCTTTTTTGGGTTTTTATGACAATATTATTATATTAATATTATATATTGTATCTGTAATGTCGTATATATGACAATAATAATAAGTAGGTAAAGGGTACCTGACATACTGTCAGCACTTACTCATGGCTTCTGTTCCTCTCTCTCCTCTTCCAGTTCGCCTGCTTCTTCCTCCTCCTCATGGTTTGTGCTGGACTTCTAATCTTCCCTGGTCTTTGAAGGTCAATTAGCTAGAGTTCCTTTTCTGCTTTGGGTTTACTGTTTCTTTTGTCCTCTTAGCCACCAGTATTCATACTTCCAGTACACGGTCTGGTTCCATTGTTTGTCAAACTTCAGATACTGACTCTTGAACTTCCCACAGGTTTGGACATCATCATTGGCACAGTGTTGCTCTTTATTCTGACAGGAGATATTATGCCATAGCTGTCATTGTCACTTTTTGGAGTATAACCTCTTTCTATACTTAAATTTTGTCTTCTTTCATTTAAAAAAAAAAAAAAAAGGTTAAATACTCTACACCTTTACTATATTAATGGTGTTTATTTTAGAATTTCAGATTGCCAATAGACAAAACAGGCACCACCAGGATTGGTGACCTAGCACCCCAGGACATGAAGAAAGTTTGCTATTTAGCCCTAATCGAACTGACTGCCCTCTATGATGTATTGGGTATTGAACTGAAACAACAAAAAGCTGTGAAAATCAAAACAAAAGGTAATTTTGAAATGAAAAACAGTTGGATTTACTTGTAAAGCAGCAAGGATGAGGTTGGCTTTTTAGCAGTATTTTTAGGAGAGAAACACCTACAAAATAAACAAACACTTGAATACATCTGAAGTTTAGATTCTAAAACGTTGTCTTCAAAAATTTTGTAACTTGATTAAATGCACTGTCTCCTAGACTATAGAAAACAAGGGCATAATCAAACATTTAATTACCATGGAAGGAAATTAGATGGAAATTCTGAATCAAGGAATCTTAACTCACATGCTTTCTCCTTTGAAGACTATGTATTAAAAAAATACATTTGGTACATATACTTATTAATTTCCAAAATGAGATCTTGAAAAATAACTTTAAAATTGTTGACCCTTTAAAATTTGTTGCTTACTTTTGCTTATTTACTCAATGGGTAATACATAGGGTAGTTAGTCTGTTCCTTTGTTCGTTAACATTCTGAATATTTTGCAAAAATGTTCTTTACTAAGAAAATAATGCCATTGTGGCACGTGATACCACTAAATTGTATTTATCGTGGATATGTTAGATTTTCTTTTGTAAGCAGCTTGCTTTACTTGTTATATGAACATACTTTATTTTTTATAATATGATAGAGAGCAGGCACTTCCTCGGTTTTTGTTTTTCCAAGATTCAATTGGTCTGGAAATCCAGATAATTCTTTATTGACAAAGCTTTATTGTTTAGAAATTTCTGACCGCTTCTTTAACCTTAAAATTTTCTCCTAAAGAGAAATCAAGGAGGATTATTGAGTTGCTATGGTAACATTAGCAAAGACAAGTATTCATCTGATTTAAGTTTTAGAGGCAATTTCTCTGTAGGACTGAAGTATACCTTCCCTTCAGGCCCTCTTCCATGCCAGGACCCAGAAGACATTCTGTGCACAGCTCCTTTGAATATTTTAGCTTAAAGCCTGGGATGGTGAATTTTGGAGTTAAATGGTGCTTCTGTTTTTTTCACAAGTCCATTATGGATAACGAAGACTTCAGATGCTTTTTAGAAGCTCATCATAAAGACTTCTCCAAATATAAAATGGAAATATAATTTAAATAGCTGTGACTCAGTGCTTGACTTTAAAAGTGGCTTGAAGAAGATTTTTTAATGCTGTTTTAGAATTGCATCCTAACGATATTAAGCCAGTTAAGAGAAATAGTCATTCTTATTAAAAGTGTCACTATTAATAGAATAGATTTTATTTTTATTTTTTAAAATATTTTTGTATCTTACCTATGCAATTTATAAACGAGACTCTCCATTCTTAAAGATTACATCTTTTCTTAATTTTTAAACCGTAAAGTATTTACTGAATTACTGGCATTCTTTTGAATTACATCTCTGTTGAGGGTCACAGTTTCCAATGTCTATCCTCATACCACAAAATAATGCTTCTTTTTGTGTTCACAATTTATTTATATCTCTCCTGATGATATGTGTTATGCTTCTGTGCTAACTATTCTACTCAGTGATAGGGGTGGAGTGGCAGTTATTGCGCAGAAGCAGCACTGAACAGACTCAAGGCACATGATTTCAATTTAGAAAAATTGTAAATTATTATGTGTCATTTCTTCCAGAGTTATTCCCAAATATATAAAGTCTAAAATTTACATTCAAGAATATTAAGTATTTATATTTTCTAAAAGAAAAAAAACAAAAACAAAAAATAGAAAATACCCTTTATAGACTGATTTCTCAAAAAAAGAGTATTTATATTTTGCTGTAATGTAGAATGTTAAATGTCAATTAAGTGTGGAAGAGATTAGTGATATTTGCTTTAAGCCAAAACTTTTAATTCGACTACATTTCATAATTTTTTTGCATATTTTATGCAGTCCCACAACACTCATCTCTCATATGTAGCAGCTTATCCTTTTCTAGGTATTTCAGTGAGATTATTTGCAATCATTTGTTTAGTTGTCTTTCCTTGCTAGATTGCTCTATGTGGCAGGGCCCAAATTTTCCTATTGAGAGTCTATGTCTAATAACTACACAGTGTCATTCTCTTACTAGGTGCTCAATAAATAGCTGTCTGATTGATAGACAGTATCAGAAATCTTACGGCTTAACATTTTGCATTAATATTTTATGGATTGATGGAAGTGAAGAAATTTAATTTTATTTTTTGTTGCAGATTCTGGCCTTTTTTGTGTTCCATTGACTGTATTGTTGGAACAAGATCAGAAGAAAGTACCAGGAACTAAAATACCCTTGATATTTCAAAAAGTAAGTAGGCCTGAATGGGTCAGCATAGAGAAAACATACTTGAGGTAATAGTGGTTTTATTTTAATTTATTTTTTATATTCTTACTATTATAATGTAGTTTTCCAATTGATATGCTCTTTTATTTTGTACTTTGATTTTCTATTCAGGAAAAAAAATTTGTTTCAAGGGCTCATAATTTTTATTTCATGGTGATGCTTTCAGTGTTATTACTGTAAATGTGATTACCTGGCATCATTTTCCTGTCTTATATTAGCTGGCTTTGTATAATTGAGATTTCAGTTCTATAATACATAGAAGTGGAAACTGCTTATAAATAAATTTCTAGGGAATTGAATCCTCATGAATATTTCATACCTGTATGTATTTCCCAAGCTTTCCTATTTACAGTGAGGATGTCCAATTTAATTTACCAGTGTCTACTTCCAAACTAGGCAAAGAAACCATAAAGTAGAATTAGAAAGTGATTGTTAAACTGTCAAGTCACTTGTGTAGTCAACACTCAATTATTCATAAGGGGATTATCTATGGCAATATAAGAATTTCAGTCTAACCTCTGAGCCATCATTGTTCAGAAACACAGATTGCATATTATGATAAAAGCCAGGGAATGCATAGTGAGGAAGGCAGGCTAAATCAGTTATAGACTACCCAAACTATAGATTCTTTGCAACAGCCCAGGCATATCACAGTTTCTGGAAGTCCTGGCAACAGCAAGAGTGGCAATGGGAATTTTCACAATTAACTGACTCGATAGACTCTTTGATACTATAGCTCTAACTACTTGGCACTTAATCTTCTGTTATTCTAAGCCAGTCATTTACCTGTCTTACCTTCTGACCTCTGATCCCTTTATTCCTCACGTTCTTCATTACATCCAAACTGATCTCGGTGTTTCTCCTGGTGAAGGTTGTTGTACACAGTTTATCCTACCCATTATATGTTTGTGGTCCCTTTTGGAGACTCTGACTACCTACCCATTTGAAGTCATTGGATAATATCTTTAAAGTTTTTTTGTTTATATAAAAAAACAAAAGGGTATATAAAGAGCTTACTGTCAGATAAACACTCATCTGTTTGCATCTCCTCTGAATTATAAACAAAAATTTTAGTGATTTATCATGAAAAATATTTTTTGATTTATCAGCTGAAAATGCAATTTGATATTCCTTCAATTTTGTAGGAAGGAAAGAATTGGAAACTACTGATTTGTAAATAGTTTCATTAGTAGTCTTTAGAAGATTATACTTTCTCAGTTATTGAGAAATATACCCCAAAAGGGCTTAAAGCTTATCTAATATCTGTGAACTATATATATTTTTTTCTCCTCAGAGTCACATTGTTTAAACCATATTTTCAGAAAGGGTTGGGGATTTGGAAATATAGATTCTATTCTTATTGTCATACTAATCAGCCGGATCAAACATACTTTGTGTCAAAAAGTCTGACTTCATTTTCAATTTGTTTTTTAATTTATATAAGTATGTGATATGTATTTTGGGAAATGCTATGAAACTTACTGATAACTTAGAGAATATATCTTGGAAGATGAATTACCAAATGCAGCATGATTAAAATATATGATCAATATATTTTTAATGTCTGTTTTGTCTTGAAAATGAAAGGAAAGCTGTAAAGTATTTTTATGTTTTAATAATGCAATGTTATGTGGTAGCTAAAAATGTTATTTTCAGAGTGAGAAATATGAGAAAACACATGACATTTCTTCAGACAATATATATACATACCTTTATTGAATGCTAGTATTTAGCTTTAGAGAATAATAAAAGGACTCGAATATAAAAATTTAGAAATTACTCTCCTTCAGTTATGTAGAAATCATAGTTAATTTTTCCTTTGTATTTAATGAAAGCAAAAGGCTTATGCTGCTAAAAACTAATTTGCTCCAACAGCTAGCATATAATTTTATCTTTTGTTGATAAAACATTTTAAACATTTTATAAGATTAAATAAAGTGAAAATTGCTTGTACATTGAATAACTTTTGCATGGTATTATTTGATAAATTCGGTTTTAAATACATTATTGAATAAGGTCCATGTAACGTAAAATAGTTCATGTAAATTATTTTGCTGTGAGTTTTTATCCAGCATAATTTGAAAAATGTGGTCTCGGATAATATTCCAGTTGAATTTCAAAAATCATGTGTTGTGTTGACTGGTTAAAGATGCTTCTCTTTTTAACTGATAATAAATCCTTGGGAGAACTTTGAAACTATTCTTTGCTTTATTCTTACCTGACTCTCTCAAGATCAGTTCATTCTTTGGCCATAATCCAGGGATAGAAGAGGTGAGATCATTACAGAAAAATTGCCATCTCTTCCAGTATCTACACGCTATAGTATATCTTATTTTAGAACATCCAGACAAAGGTCAAAAGACTTCATTTATGATGCCATGCTTTGCTCCTGAGATGCTTTTATAACCAAGGGGAAAACAGTAAGCTTTACATAGTTTATAGAGCCTTGGTTAATCATTAAAGGAGTTTCCTCTGAAAAAAAAAAAGACAATTTTACATTCTTTTGGCACTCTGGAAGATTTTATGCCTTAGGGAATAAAATATTGCAGTAAGATTGGAGATGAGTGAAGAGTAGGCATGTCTTTTATAAAGTAGGAGAAGGCTGTTGTGAAAGGGGAGTGAGTGAGTGGTAAGAAGGAGAACCGATGTGATGCTAGTAAATGCCCCATATTTAAACTGACAAGAAGGAAATTAATTTCCTTAAAATAGCAGAGTACCCTCTATAAGCCTTCATGTACTGCCCAAGGAATGCATATTCCAATTGGAAGATCACTCTGCCAAGAAACTAGTGTCCAACAGTATGTCATTGCAGCTTCTCTATTTGACTTATTCTTATGAGCTTCTGCCTTATTAAAAGGAAAAAAAAAAAAAACAACCCCTTTTATTTTAATAGGGTTCTGGAGGTAGAGAGATCTGCATGCATTAATTTGGCATTGAGTGTAATTTTGAGGCCTTATACAAGAACTGATTTTTATTTGTTTACCACCAAAAGTGTAAAGGCTTGAAATGAATATTTGCAAACAGTTTTTTTCTTCACATAAAGAATTTTTCATTGAACAAACTAAAAATGTGATGTAAATGTGCAAATACTAGAATTTTATAAGATTATTTGATTGCAGAATGTATGTTTCAGGAAAAGCAGAGGAAAGGGATGGTTTTAGTTGCTTTTAAACAAAGAACATTTTTACTCTCCATTTGGTGTACCACATTTGTTGTGTGACATTATACACTTCTGTTACAAAGGATAATATGACCCAACTTTTTCTAAATTATAAAGTTTTGGGACTTATTGGTTTAAAGGATAGTGATAGTGCAATTACATTTAGAATTTCATGAAATCCAGTTTATATGTCATTGTAATCAGTTTTCATTTATTTATATGTGAAACAGATGTTAAATTTGGAATTGTACCTGTTATGAATACCAAAATCAGAATGTTTTTCTGTTTATACATAGCTGATTTCTCGAATTGAAGAAGGAGGTTTAGAAACTGAAGGCCTCTTAAGAATACCTGGAGCTGCCATTAGAATCAAGGTAATTTCTTGGTTTTATTGTTTAATTATACTTTTGCATGTTAAAAGCTAACTTGCATCCCAGCCCTTTCTTTCCATCGTTAGTAAAGTAGATAAAATAAAATAATAAAATCTCCTAACATTCAGTTTATATTTAATTTTTCTAATGTCTCTTCTGATTTGTGTAAGTTCTGATTTTTTTCAAAATTACCATATTACCTATAATAACACTATGATAAAGAGACACATAATCTCTCCACTGTGCAAACATAAAAAGGAACAAAAATAAACAGGCAAAAAGATGAGTAGTCTCATCCTTCTGATGAGAACACAATGAGTCAAATATTAATACGGGTCTAGTGACAGATTTAGTCAGCATAAGTAATCGCAGTTGAATTAAAAAAAAAAAAGCAGGATGATAAACTTCATTAGGGGAGCAGAGCAGAAGACAATATTAGTCTTAGTGAGCTGGCAAAGTGAGACTCTGTCTCAATCACTTTCCTGAATTTCACAGTTCCCTGTCTCACTGGACCCAGGGTAGCCCGAGTCTGGCTCGTGAAAGAGGTCATTCTCAGACATTTCAGTGGAGCCCCCTTTCCTCTCTGCCCCTGCTTTCTTTTCTCTCAAGATGACATTTCTTCTCCACTGTCCTAGGATGCTATGTATCCTCCTCCTTTCTCTCTGTCACCCAAGGGGAATAAAACATCCCATGAATGAACGGTAAAGGTGCAACTACCCTACAGATGATACATATGCATGATACATATGCCTCTCAGGAGATTTGCATTTTACAGGGGCTTCATACTTGGAATTGTAGCTCTGTATGGAAAATTTATCTAGGAAACATATTTGGTTAGCAGTCATTAACAATCTCCTTCACCTTATCCTCCAAATTAAGCTCTAGCTCTAAACTGAAATAGTACAAGTCACTGCCCACATCCAATACATTGTCTTCCTGAATTTGCAATTCAAGAGAATAGAGGGAAGAGATTTTTCTCTGTTCATTTCCTTAACCTATTCTATGTGAAATCTTTAGAGTTGGATCAGGCAGAAATGGCTGATGGTTATGGTGACTGTGGCAGTGGTGCTGCCAGGAGTGGAATTACTATGAGTACATTCCATAGTTTGCATCATCTGCTTATTTTGATAAGCTTCCTCAGTTTAGGAAGCTAGTTTTGGCTTACTTGGCTCTTACTGCACAGTGATCTCAATTTAATTGGATTCGAGTAACCTGAGAAACTGTGCTCACAAATTTCATTCAGCTTGAATCCCCTGGGTTTTATGTCGGGTACACAGAGGTCCCTGAAACTTTTTTGGTGCTCTTGTAAGTTTGATAAGTTGCCATTGTCTCACTTCATCTGTGAACACCTGGCAATCTCACTACAGTCAGTCATGAACTTGATGTGTGATTCTGAGATAAGTTCTGTTGAGAAGTACATTCTCTTACAGAGAAGGAATTCCTCAGAAACAACAGGTAATGTGACTTCATGTAACCCATATCAGCAAGAATACTGTAGCTTTTCAGTTCACTGTTCACAGCATTCATTAGCAGAGTGTAATGGCCAACTCACAAGTTATAAATACATTTACTTTAGTACACAATAGCAAATGTAATGTGTATTTTATAGTTTGACTGGATAGCTGACAGAAGGTTGAGTTCAACTAAATATAATTTCTAAGAAAGTCAATTAGATAGATTCAGCTGGCTCTATTCCTCAACCTGGCCTGTTGTCATATACCAAATTCTGCAGCAGCTGGTCTATTATAAATAATTTAAAGATAATATGCAAAATCTTTGGTTGTCTTTCTTCTCCCCTGCCCCACCAATTTTCTTATACTCTTTTCTCTCCCTCTCCCTCATTCCCTCCCTCATTTCTCTCTTCCTCTCTCCTTTCTCTCTCCCTCTCCCCTTCCTCCCTCCCTCTCTCCTTCCTCCCTTTCTCTCATCCCTCTCCCTCCACCTCTCTTTCCTCCATTCTCTATTTCTAGGTTCACCTTTATATATTTCACCAATTACAGACATAATTGGGATAGAGAATGGAGTTGTGCTGGGAAGAGCAAATGTAATAAATTCACCTTATAAGAAGAACAAAGAACATGAATTGGGGAGAACAATGTCAAAAAATAGAAGAAAGTGACAGACTTGGAAGGATTTCTAATATCGAAGGATTTCTAATATTATAGGATTTATGCCACAGTGAAAAAGTGTATAGAAAATAGTAATTATGAAACTAAATTGATTTATTACTAATAATTTGTCAGACAAATTTTGTAGAGTCCTTGAGGTAAATGAACTAGGTATTCTAATTCTACACAGACTCACACTGTTGTCTGCAGCTGGCATAAGGATGGCTATGTCACTTACAGCCTGTGCATTTCAGACAGGTATATTGATGTATTTTCATGCCTCATTTGCTATAGAATTTGGTTTTTCATTTCCCAGAGGTGACTAATTAAAGGTAGCCTTCTGTTTTAAACTCAGAGATTGATTATGTATTTTGTATTAGATATCATGGAACGTACTTCTAAATAATTTAAAACGTACACTTATTTTTTTAATGATTTTTTAATTTAATGAAAAATTATATTATCTAAATAAAGACCCCAAATGGAAAGACTATTTGGACTAATCTTTTCATTAAACCTTTACTGCTTAAGGTTTGTATTGTGTCCAGGAAAATATGTAAAATTCTAGAATTTTTTGGACGTAAGTATAATTTTCATTTGGTAAAGTACACTGGGGCCAAAGAGAATAATATTTTTCAAAGTAACAGAGAAGTATTGGCCTTTTAGTGCTTTCAGATGTCTTTTCTAAAGAGTAGAATCACTTGTAAAGTGGGAAGTGTATCATACTCTCAGAAAAAAAAAAAAAAAGTACTTACTGGTAGCTTTCTTTTTTCTTCTGCCTTTCAGAATCTCTGCCAAGAACTAGAAGCGAAGTTTTATGAAGGGACGTTTAATTGGGACAGTGTCAAGCAGCATGATGCAGCCAGCTTACTGAAGCTGTTTGTCCGGGAGCTGCCCCAGCCGCTGCTCAGTGTAGAATATCTCAAAGCCTTTCAAGCTGTCCAGAGTAAGTGCTGTCCCTCTTCGAAACAATCCTTGTGCTGCTGCCATCCATACTAATTGTTTTAATAACATTTTGTATCACAAAGAATATTACCAGATATATTTGGATATATATTGACTCACTGATGTCAACGGTGCTCAAATGCCACATGTTTTCCTTTCCTTTATAAATATACATCTCTGAGTAAATAGATAAAAGAATGTTCTCTTGGGTACAAATTAATTGCATGCCCTTTAAGCAATACAATATATTTTCATGTTAAAACCTGAAAATCACATTTCTTTTATAATAAAATGCGTCACGTAAGATCTCTGATACATTTTTCTTGCCAAGTGGTGAAAGCAACACTTACTAGAGAAGCTGTGGATTAACAGTTATCATAAAAGAACAGGGGGATGTGGCAGAGTCTGTGACTATTTTCTGAAAAATTAACTTTTTGAAATTGTCATGCAGAAATAGAACAAATCATTTGTCTGCCTCATTGATGGAGGGCAACAGACTTCTAATGTCTTGCCATTTTGTAGTCTTGGGCAAGTTCCAAACTAATGTCTCATAGCTCTTAATTCCTTTTCAGTGAACATGGAGATCTTGTGAGGTTTATATACAGGCATAATTATCCCTTTTAGTCCTAGAGGTCAACAAAAAAAGAAAAATGCCATTGCCACACTCTAGTGACCACATGTTTAACTTCCATATTGGGACACTTGATAGTAGAAAAGGGAACATTATTGATGCTTATGGTGAGCTGCAGTGTCAAGCAGAGCTATTACGGACTACTCTTTTTTTAACATTTTTTATTGAGGTATAATTGACATACAACATTATATTAGTCTCAGATGTATAATATAATGATTTAATATTTGTTTATATTGTGAAATGGTCACCACAATAAATCTAGTTAACATCTGTCATTAGAGTCAAGAATTTTTTTTTTTCTCGTGATGAGAACTTTTAAGATCTACTCACTTAGGAACTTTCAAATATGCAGTACAGTATTACTAACTATATTTGCCATGCTGTACATTACATCTCCAGGACTTATTTATTTTATAACTGGAAGTTCGTGCCTTCATACCCCCTCCACCTATTTTGTACCCCCTCCCCCATCTCAGGCAACCACCAATCTCTTCTATCCGTGAGCTTCTTTTTTTGTTTTTGTTTTTGTTTTTTTTTCGGATTCTACATATAAGAGAAATCATATGGTATTTTTCTTTCTCTGACTTATTTCACTTCCCCTCAAGGTCCATCCATGATGTCACAAATGGCAAAATATCATTCCTTTTTGGTGGCTGAATAAAATTCAGTTGTATTCGCTATTCTTAAATCATGTAATATTGAGATGATTCTCGTGTGTCATCTCATAACATTTCTTTAGAATTTCTAGAGGAGACATGACTGAAGTCATCTTCTGCTTAATATATTTTTTAATGGTTAAGTTGTGTTATTTTGCACACATTCTTTAGATATGGATTAAAGGACTGAATTGATCCCTGAAAACAAATGTCAGAATGTGTCCAGATATACAGGATTATTACTTAAATAGGATAAAAGCTACCAAAAATGATAAGTATCATTGATAATAATGTACTTCTTAGACTCTTTCATTGCTGATTGGTTTTCTAATTCATTCTATCAATGTTTGTTGAACACCTATTGTATTCCGGGCTCTGTTTTACATATTCCTGTTAGAATTCATGGACTCTTACCACATAATTTGTTCACTCACCATTAAAGGAAACAAACTTCACCGTTACAGATGTACCTTGATACCATATCATAGAAGGTCCAATCTTCTCTTTTTATTGGAGAATAATTATCATGCAGAAGCTAAAATTATTTTCAAAGCATTGTTGTGTGTCTGCAAACATAAGGCTGCTCGTCATATGATCGCAGTTGGAAGTGAGCATTCTAAGGATAAAGCTCTAAAGCAGCAGCTGCTTGTGCTGATCCCCCACAAACACACTCTCAACAAGGCTTGCTGCTCAGTCGTTGTGTCTCACATTTCACAGTGATGTTTATGCCAAATAACTTTTTTTCTTACAAAATGAAAAAAGGAAGTAAAATGTTCAGTAAAGACTTCAGATTTCTTTCATCTGTCTGCAGATCTTCCGACCAAGAAGCAACAACTACAGGCTTTGAACCTTCTTGTCATCCTCCTGCCTGATGCAAATCGAGACACACTGAAGGTCAGCTGGATTCGTTTGCCGTCACTGTCCCTCAGAACAAAGCAGAGCAATTTTTTATTATTGTGGCAAAACATGATCTTATCATGGAAATGTTAGTAGTAGTCTCTAAAGAAAAGACCTGTTTTTAAGGACAGGTGGTAGAAGTCTTTGACTCTTTATACATTTATTTATACATTTATTAGTCATGTTAATCGTATTATCAGGAGTTTTGTGTTTTGATTTTACTCTAACCATTCTTCTGCCAAAACAAGTGATCAAAGTTCATTTGTTAATGCAAACATGGGTGCTTTTTATTTTTCTTCTATTTTTCTGCATTTTCCAAATTTTATTTAGTGAGCGTGTATTAGGTGAAAATAAATGTTTAAAAAGAAAATCCTAAGAGTCATCACATATAATCACCCAGTGTTGCCTAAAGATGTTACATTTGTAATTCCGTGCAGTAGAGTTTGGAATAAGTCATAATGACTATTCCAACAATGTTTGCTTAGCCAAAAGGTAGACCAACTCAAACAAATTCTAGTTATTTCTCTAAGGGCTTACCTTGAGTTGCTGATTTATATCACCATTTCAAAGTGTTTTGGTCTAATGTTATATCATTTTATACTGTTTATTATAAGTGTTGTCAGAGGCTTTTATAATAGTCAATAAATTAGTAAATTCTTCCACATTGATTTATTTTCCTTAATGATAGAGTTTATAGTTATAAAAGGTTTAATTATAAACCTTTATAAAAGAAAAAGACTTTAAAAAAATAATTTAGAAAGAGTATTTACCTTAAGTTTTGCCATTATTCAAAACA